TACCATGATTAGGACCATTACCATTAGCCTGAACATCTACTCCCTCGTTACCACGTGGACCATTCTGTCCATTGTTTAGGACATTATCCCTCGCGTTTGGATTAGCCCCCAAGTTAGGCATACCACTACCATTGCTTTGATTTGGTACTGTAGTACCCCCTTGGTTTGAAGTAGAGGGACCAGAAAGTGGTTCTACCCCTTGACTCGGATTTAGGACCGATGGATTATGTCCTACAATTGTCCTAATTTGAAAGTGATTTGTAAGAGGTATAGCCGGTTGACATATTTGGCCTACTAACTTGTTCATTGTTTCATTCAACGTCTTTAGTTGTTTGGCCATGTTGTCATAGTGTACATTCCCATTTTGTGTAAGTCTTTCCATATTATGAATACTTCGAAGATTTACCTGTTCAACGACGTCTTGCGTGAGTTCTCCAAGTAATGCACGCATGGTTCGAGGACTCAACTCCGTCATTGGTTCGTAACGACTGTTACTGCTCTGATTTTGTCCTTCTGTTCGTGGAGAGGCATGCTGCTCCTCATATCGCTCGATTACAGATTGGATTCCTCCCTGACTTGCTGCTTCCTTATCGGATCTCTGAGGCATATCGTTTACCCTTTTGTACTTTCAACACCTAACACCACTGTCCCACTGGGCGTGCCAAATTGTTTCGCGCGGGTTAGTCGCTAACAATTAAAAGGGATCAGACGATTGTGTAAGGGACAAACCTCTTGAGACAAAGTCCCAAAAAGGGGTGTTCTTTTATTGGCGATGACTTTACAATTGGAAATCAAAAACAACATGCCTCCAAGGGGCGCAAGCACACGAGTTATTGAAAGAAAAGTGTTTAAATCTAAAAACTAAGGAAATGAAAATTACATATTCTCTGTTTGAGAGTTTTGGATTCGGTCTTTTGCTTTTATGTCCTTTCTCCATTTTATACTTCATAGACGATCTCTTTGTGATTAACTACTCTAAAAACTGCTTGATCGTCCTATAACTACCCACTTTCTTCGTAGTGGCCATTTTGTCATGAAAACTACCTTTTAACTGCTGCCATTACCTTTCATCGTTCAACCGCTTTCGATTGAATTCTTTGAATCGTGGAACGTGAAAGGGCTGCTTCAACAACTGCTTTGATAACTACATTTCTTGATAACCACGACACGTTATGTTTGTTGATACCTTGGGCGACTTGAAGGTTTGGGCGAGAATAGAATAACAGCTCTGGGCGACCGTATGACACTCTATTCGTTCAGATTCTGGGCGACTTGCAAACTTGGGCGATGGCGTTACCGCATTCTTGGGCCCCCTTATTTGGGCCTTCACTTTGATTTGTTCGATTGTACTTCGTTCTTTGGGCTATCTGATTTGGGGATCCTCCAATTGGGCTTTACTCCTTGAGCTGTTCGATTTGGGCTGAATTTTTATGTGTCAACACTTATATTGCTTACAAAATTTTGTAACCATACCATTTGCAGGAAAAAGTTTCTCGAAATTGAAGTTGAACAAGACTTACCTCCAATCAACAATATCACAAGAAAGATTGAATGACGTGAATATGTTATCAATAGAGAAAGAAATGGTTGAACGGCTAAATTATTCAGATTTAATTAATGTTTTTGCCTCTAAAAGAGCAAGATGAATAATATTTAATTAATTGTTTGAAACATTGTTGATTTTATTATATGATAATATAAATCTTTTGTATAAACATATTTATTTGTTGTTTTAATGTTAGGTTTTAGGTTAGTAATAGGTTGCATAAAATACTGTTGAATTTTGCATTTACATTGACTTTGGAGGGCATAATTTATGGATTTCGCCTCGAGTCTCGACAATCATAGAATCGGCCCTAAAGGCAGCCATCGTATCATATCCATTTTCTCGTAAAGGATGCTCACAGATAGATTGTAGGGCATATATTTTCTCAACAAAAGGTTTCATGACAGTTGTCTTCCAGTTAGATAGTTGTGTAATTACTAATTATTTCTATATGTACTTAAACTTCACATGAATCAAAGTTAAGAGCATTTTCAATACTTCATCAAAAGTGACCATTTATGTAATGTCTGTAAAAAGTGACAATTTCTTTATACCTTTTCTTTCAAAAAAAATAAAATTGAGTTTGTGAAATTCTAATGTACTTGGCACCAGCATCAAGGTCTTGGTGGTCTAATTGGAAGAAAAACGATTCTCATTTCACATCCTTAAGCATCATTCTTTCGATTACAACAACATTTGAATTAATGAACTAACGATATATTCACAGGATTAATGTTGATTTCCAACTGCTTCAATACATCAAACAAAAATCAAGTTTTAATTTCCAAACGAAAAACTTCTTTTTGATCGAGCAAAACTTTATTTTGATTGAAAAAAACAATTTCAACCTTTAAGGTGTGAATCCACACAAAATTGAAAATTATCATTACATGAAAAAGAATAATATAAATAATAGTGAGAATATCTCTCTGACCGCTGCACAACTAAAAATAAAAAAATAAAAAAAAATCATTTCGTGTCTCACTACTACTAATAAAGAATTTAAAACATGGAAATAAAGAATAAACATATTAGAGTTCCATCGAATTGCTAAGCAAACTAGTGTCCAGCTCCAGGGCTTGTGCCAGATTCCTTAACTCCTCCAAGCGTGTAAGCATTAGTAAATTTGTTTCCTTCACCAGATTTCTTATTTCCTCCAAGCGTTTGAGCATTGGACAATTTGCGTTCGTCACCAAGGCTTGGACCAGACATTTTAATCCCTCCAAGTGTTTTCGCATTGGTAAACTTCTGACCTTCACCAGGACTTGGACCAGACATTTTAATCCCTCCAAGTGTTTTCGCATTGGTAAACTTGTGTCCTTCACCAGGACTTGGACCGGCCTTCACAGCATTCAAGGACAAATTATAAATCGATGCACAATTGAGAGGACGGGCCTCGACAGCAAACATGACTGAATAAAACAACATAAGGAAGACGACGAAGAAACTGATGTATAATTTCATATCTCTAGTTAGAAACAGACCCACAGAGTAGAGAGGAAAAGAGAAATTGAATATGTGTTGGCTGTGGATGAATAGAGGATTTGGAGACTAATTTATACTGTAAGATTTCTTGACTAACAAGGAAGGAAAAGACTGCTGATTTGCAATACCATTCAAAGAGAACGTGAGAATTGAAATATTTAGAATTGGAATGGAACGTATTTCTAAACGAACCTGCAAGTGAGGTTCATAAGCAAAGAAAATAAAAGATTGCGAGTCTAAATTGGATAGCATTTGTTTCTAATTCAGTTCTCCTACGGTCTGCATGCGTAATGGAAAAATGGAGTTCAATTCTATTTTTAGGACGGCGAATATGCACATATGTTTGAATTCAAATTAGTTACTGAGATTAAAAAATATATTTTTTCCTCATACTATTCAATTGTCAACAAGTGTGATAAAACCGGGCATCCAAGACAACATCGGCCGTCCAATCTAGTCTATCAATTTGCAATTTACACGTGTAAGGTTCCCAACCTCGTACAGGACTTAGCCACCAGTTGTTGGACCATGCTGTGTATGCATGAAAACGTTGACACCCCTCACATGTTGTTACACGTGGGTCTCTCTTCATGTAAAGGGTATAAAGCATTGTGTACACTGGAGGTGTACATATAGCATAACCCCCAATTGTTTTTTAGGGGAATTTATAAACAATTAATTTATAAATAAGTATAAAAAAGTTATGAATAAGTGATTAATATTTGTGGGTGTATTGAAATATGTGATTGATCAATTTTTAAATGATATATAAATTTGTTTCAAGGAGGCTGAGGTTTAAAAGTCATAGTCGTCTTTTATTTTCTATATTTTTAATTTGTTGAGGAATAGATTGTATTTAATTATAACTCTCACTCTTTTCATTCGCTTTGATTTATGCATATAACATACCGGTCAAGTATCTCTGAAGATCACTATTATATGTAATTTCCACTGTCTTGTATGCAAATTTTGATTGATTATTAAGCAAATTAAAAATTTCTACTAAAGAAATTGAGTCAAATAGTCAACTTGTGGATTAGTAGAATTAGTGGATTACCCATTTATCATGGTATGAGCTATGCAGTGGAAGACAATGGATAGGACTCCTCTAGAAATCATACACAATATCAATTATTGCAGTCAGTATAAAATAACGATTTGATCTCAGGGGCTTGGATCATTACATTAAAATGTATCGGTCAAGTATGTCACAAGATTACTAATATATGTAATTTCGACTTCACCTATGAAAATTTCGATTGACTTTAAAGAAAATTAAAAATTTCTATTAAAGTAATTGAGTCTAATAGTCAACTTACGGATTAGTAGAATCTATATAAGTACCCATTTACCACGGTTCGTCATAGAAGTCAATAGATAGGATTCCTCTAGAAATCATACACAATAACAATTATCGTAGTCATTGTGATATAAAGATTTGAGAACAGAGATTCAGATCGCTACATATAACATATCGATTGGGTATCTCTGAAGATTTATTAAGATATGTAATTTTGATTATCACGTATAAAAATTTTGATTGATTTTAAAGTAAAATATAAATTTCTACTGGTAATTCAGTCTAATAGTATTGCCTGTCTTTTAAATTAGATTGCTCCATTTTCTAGTTGACTGCCAAACGGTCCAAGTCCCCAAGGTTGATTGTAAAGCCGTCTAAACTCATCAAAATATCCATGACGAAAAATACACGGTCAAGAATAATTTGTAATCTATAATCCATAATATATATTAAAGTATCACATCAAGGGAGAATCATTTTTTTTGACGATTTTAACCCTCATACAATTCAATTAATTCAATAATACATTACTTTTCATTTTTAGATATGTAATAAATGCTACATAATTATTGTCCTTTATGAAATTTGTGCTCTTTTATTGTTGAAGATGCAAAAAGAGACGCCAGTACCAGAAAGTAAGAGAGCAGCACTTACCCTTCTAAGCTAAAGATGAAAACAAGTTTCTAATCAGCTATCATCTGGCTTCATCGACTTTCAATTGGGAGAACACTTCATTAGGATTTGCTTGGCTAGCATCTGAGAAACTATACGACAGGAGGGAAAGTTCATCTTCTATACAAGGAATGCTTTGAGAAGGTAGTCGTTCAACAACAGGCATAGGCAACTCCCAAGTAACTTCTGTGGTGCTGTCTTCATATGGTTCTCGAGGCACTGCAGTGTGTTGAAGCCGTAAAGCGTATTCTAAGTCCCACAAGACGTCGACCATATTAGGCCTATCGACTCCACATTCTTGCAAACACCTTTCTACTGTATCCCCAAATTTCCTTAGCGAGTTGGGATTTATTTTTCCCACAAGCAAAGGATCCACAATTTTCTCTAGCTGTCCCTGCTTTTGCCAGGATATTCCCCAATCAGCCAAGTTGATTTGCTCCCGTGGAAGCAAGTTGTTTATGACAGGTCTTGCACAAAGTACTTCAAGAAGTACCACACCAAAAGAGTACACGTCGGATTTTTGTGTGATTTCTAAGCATCTGCAGTACTCGGGATCAAGATATCCAAAGCTGCCTTTGACATCAGTAATTACATGAGTTTGATCCAGAGGACCTGATCGCGAAAGGCCAAAATCAGCAACTTTAGCCACATAGTTTTCATCAAGCAAGATGTTTGTCGATTTGATATCCCTATGGATGATTGCCCCATTAGAACCAGTGTGAAGGTAGTGAATACCTTTTGCTGCACCAATGCAAATTTCAAGCCTTTGACTCCAAGATAATTGAGAAGGCGAAGTGGATTTCTCCGAGTCGCCCCTCAAAATGTACAGATGATCTCTTAAAGTACCTTTTTCCATAAACTCATAAACAAGTATCATTTCAGACCTTTCTTCACAATATCCAATCAACGAAACGAGATGCCGGTGGCGAATTTTGGATAAAATCATTATTTCAGTATGAAACTCGGGAAGGCCCTGTCCACTTCCTGGCTCACTTCTTTTTATAGCCACTTTTTTACCATCCCGAAGTATTCCCTTGTAAACTTTCCCAAAACCCCCCTCACCAATCATCAATTTGGAGTCGAAATTTTTTGTGGCGTAGACAATGTCAGACAAAGACACCTTCAAACCGAGGTTTAAATCAGCAAGAGGGACTCCATTAACAGTTCTATCAGTTGTCTTACTATGCGAATTCCCCCCATGGAGATATCCCAATGGCAAATCAAAACTCTCAGCAGGCTTCGTTTTTCTCCGTTTCAAAACAATATATAACATCCCTATAAAGATGAAAATTAACACTGTACCTCCTATACATGAACCAATGATTATAAACGAACTTTTTTTTGTATCTTCCTCTGGAGCCGAACCCAAGTCCTTGACAAACTCCATGATTTCAACTCCATTTAGAAAGGATCCTTCATTACTTGGATCACTTGGAGGCCCAATACTTATTTTCATTAAACCAGAATCATCCGAATCAACTACAATATCAACGAGAAAAGGAGTGGCAGTGGCAGTGTCCGTAGTATTAAAAAATGGACTTATTCCGATACTGAAATTACCATAGATAGAGAGATTGAATTGGAGGCCTTCGTTTGAGGTTTGGCTAAAAATGTCACAGAAATGCACCCGAACAAAGTGTGTAGCTCTTTTCTTCACACCGAAATTCCACGAAATGTTGAAATTATTGTTTGGCCTACTTTCATTTGTGTTCATTATTTTGGCAGTCTTGTAAACAGGATCAGGGGCATCAAACCGGGTGGCCTCTCCACGCAGGTAGTTTAGAGGGCTATCTGTAGAAAAATTGTTAATTGCCGAATCCTTGTTGAACAAATAAGCATCATCAGGTATCCACCTCCTCAACAAGGTGTCATTATCCGGCGTAATATTTGATCCCCCAAAGTTAATTCTATGGATTAAACGTAAGGGGCTAGACAACAGACTCTTGTAGTCAGTCGTGTTTCCTTCTGGAGTTTTATATGATTCAGAATCGCGAAAGAAGTCAAATGGGGTAAGAAAAAATTCAATTGCATTGACATAAGCAAAAGAATTCTGGGGTAAGAAATGAATTCTGAACTTTCCAGAGGTATTAATCTTGAGGAAGAACTCTTCGATGACCGGTAAACTACTGCCGTTTTTGACACTGAAATTCGATAAAAGAGAAAACCCAGAAGCCGAAACATTGAAATGAGCGTCGAAGAGATTTTCCTGCGAAGAAAAGGGAAAGAAATGGAAACGTACCATATAGGTGCCATCTTGGACTTCGTCTAGCTCGTACCAAGATGGTTTCTTGAAAATCCTGGCACTTTCATAGAGATCGCCAGGTGAAGTAGGGTCTCTAATTGTGCTGATTTTGTGGGAAGACAAGGTGAAAGTGCTAGGATATTCATCGCCGATGAAAGTCTTATCGGCGATCTTGAAGCTAGAAGCTGAACCACAGTTGATGAAGTACCTTTCAGGTAAAGCATAATCCGAGGCCAGAGAGAAAATAAAAGAAAAGAGAAAGAGGAACAGCAGAAAAAGAGCAATAGAAATCTTGTTGAACAGAAAATTTTCCATAGATAATATTTTTGGTGGTGAATGTGTTTACTGATAGGACATGATATAGTGCAGGGATGAATAAACGATAATAAAGACAGTACATGTAAGAACAGGGGCGTGGGCCGAAGTTGACTGACTTGTGGTTGTTTGTTTCTTTAATTTTGATTCCAAAATGAGAATAATTGAGGGATTTATTATTTATTTATTATTTATTTTTTTTAAACCACCAGTGGTACTTTTTGCTCGTTCACGTTGGAATGTCTTAATTTGCCCCACCTTTGTCTTTGGTGCATTGGTTTAATGACAATATCCACTTATTTTCATCAAGAATACGAATGCATCCATATTTTATGACTATATCTTAATCTGTCAGTGTAAGTCGACTCTACGAAGTTACGTCTTCTTAAACAAAATGAGTAATTTGAGATAGACTATTTAATTTGAAAGTATTTGACTGCTATGAAAATCAAGTTAATATGTTCTGTTTTACTTTAGAATGTGAGTATGTGATTAAATTTGTGATTCACGGAATTATGAGAAAAATAGGAATCATTCTCAAAATTTAGTTTCCCACATTCAAATGGTTAATCAAGATACAGTTAAATCTTTACTTCTATTGCATTGTTTAAAATACTTTTTGTGGCTTTCATGGCAAATTCTACCTCATGCAAGGCTTTTATAAAATGCCTCAAAACTAAAACCTTGAGGCACATTTGTGAGACTTCCACCTTGAGAGGAATAGAACATGTGCTTGTTTGTCTTGCATTTTCTTGATATTTTTGTTATTGATCTTAGGTCATTTCTAGTGCTACGCATTTTGCACCATTTTGCATCAAATTTTGGATCAAACTAAAATTCATTTCCAATCATTACACCAATTGAACAGTGTTTAACTATTTTCTTTCCTTTTTTATTCTTTATAATTTATTTATTTGAAATATTATTTATTTAATTATTTTATAAATACATAAATTACTAAATAAATAATTACGTTAAATTATGAAAAAGATTAAATTCATTAATAAATATAAAAAAAATAGTACAATTAATAAAATACTACAATAACGAAAATATTAAATCAGGCCATCAGAAAATAGTACAATGCATTTCGAATTTGGATGTTCCGATATTACGAAGTTGTAAAATTTTTGCAATTCATAGATGTATCGTTTTGTTTTTCTTATATAAAATTAGATTATCGAATGTATGTCGTTGTTTAATATTTTTGTGTTAACTTTAATAAATAATCGTGTTTGTTAATTTTTTAAATTAATTTATTAATTATTATTTCTTACATTTAAATTTTATTTTAAATAAAAATAATAAAAATAATAATTTATTGTATTAAAAATTATATGGCACAAATGACACAACCACCTTCATCAATTATTTGGAAAAAAATAAGAAAATGTCAAAATAGACTTTCACCACTGTGCACCAAAATGGTGCAAAATATAGTGTTGCATTGGAGCAATTTTTCACCAAAAAATTGTGCAATTTGGTGATTTGGGGTTCACATTGGAGATGCCCTCTGGATTTTTGGCCATTTCTTTATAATCTAAAATATTTTATGATTTTATTTATTAATTTTCTTTCTGTCTCTTGGAAGAGAAGGGATGGAGAATACACGATGATAGGTTGTGAAGGATATGACAAAGAATGAGAAGCAGCTAAGAGTGACGAAAAGGAAGACTTTGCTAATTTCCTTAAAGATCCTATTTTACTTTTGTTTCATGATTACTAACTCGAGAACTTATTATTTTAGATGATATATAATTTATTATAATCATATTTTTGTATTTTTACAGCACTTTAAATATTTTATTAATTTGTCTAGAGGCTTGCGCATCGCCTCACAAAGAAAAAAAAATGCCTAAGTACCTAACTAGGCATTTTCAAATTATGCTTTTTCTATTCACTTCAAGGGATGGGATCCCAATTTGCACATCGGAGAGAATTTAATGTTGAAAATGCCTTTCATGCATTTATCATCATCCTCCGTTTTAGTTTTTGGGTTCTAAAAAAGATTAAGAAGTTTTATTTTAGATGATTAAATCACAAATTTCAACTAGAGTTAAATACATGCTAGAAAGGTTCCATTTAACATTATAATACTTGTGATGAGGCTTACCTTTTTAATTAGATGTACTGTTTTTACCAATATATGAAATAAAATGGTTAAATGACACTGACTATATTAAAAATATTTATGCTCAACAAATATCCGAAATATGCAACAGTGAAAGGAACGTTGTGAAATGATAAATGTGTATAAAACGCTTATTGTGCCATTAAACTTGATAATTATTGTTAATTTGATAAGGGTAAGGCAGCATAGTCGGTCTTGTGACAAGATCAATGAGGCTTGTGCCTCAGGCCAAAAATTAGAGGGGGCCTCACTTTTTGCCCAAGATTTTTTTAAATATTTAATGAAGTAAAAGAAAATATGTTTTTCATTCCTTTTTCTCTCCTGCGACTGCTCCCTCTCTATTTTATCAATCTAAACGGTCCTCACTAACCAATTTTCCATCCAAAGCCCACCAAAAGTACAATCCTGTTGGTTATATTCATCTCTCATTCTTGAAATTTCAGCATGTCAAAATGCAGATATCGACGTCGTCAATATTAGTGAGAGGCCATGGCTTTGAATTTTCTTTCCCCAACTGAAATCATGTTTCTTTTTTTCTTGGACACTTCTAAATCTTCTTACAACCTTAATCTCCTCAAAAACCAAGGTAAATCCCACCCCCACTAATCTCTTTCTTTATGAATATTGTTGTCTTTATTTGAATTGTTAATTATACTCATGTTAGAGTTTATTACTTTGTGCTGTGGACGTGATTTTAAAGAAGTGTAGTTGTGTGAACTGTGTTGATGTATAACGGGGGATTGATATGAAGGTAGTGGGTAATTTTTATTTTTATTTTGGTTAATGACAATATAAATATAGGGATTAGTATAATTATAAGCTCATTCCTGTGAAAGCAAAAATAGTAGGAACACTTTTTGACTTTGGCTAAAACAAGCGAAAAGCTACTTTTTATTTCAAGGTTTGAGGTGTTATTTATCAAAGTGAAGTAATAAAAACAATTGAAGTACGACAATATTTGAAGCTATTGAATGTTTGTTTTCCAAGTACTTATATTGCTTACAAAATTTTGTAACCATACCATTTGCAGGAAAAAAGTTTCTCGAAATTGAAGTTGAACAAGACTTACCTCGGATCAACAATTTCACAAGAAAGATTAAATGGAGTGACTATGTTATCAATAGAGAAAGAAATGGTTGAACAGCAAAATTATTCAGATTTGATTATTGTTTTTGCCTCTAAAAAAGCAAGACGAATAATATTTAACTAATTGTTTGAAACATTGTTGATTTTATTATTTGATAATATAAATCTTTTGTATAATATATTTATTTGTTGTTCTAATATTAAGTTTTAATTTAGTAATAGGTTGTATAAAATACTGTTGAATTTTACATTTACGTTGACTTTGGGAGACCTAATTCATGGACTTCGCCTCGAGCCTCGACAATCACATAATCGACCCTAAAGGCAGCCACCGTATCATAACCATTTTCTCGTAAAGGATGCTCACAGATAGATCATAGGGCATATATTTTCTCAACAAAAAGTTTTATGACAGTTGTCTTCTAGTGAGATAGTTGTGTAATTACTAATTATTTCTATATGTGCTTAAACGTCGCATGAATCAAAGTTAAGAGCATTTTCAATACTTCATCAAAAGTGACCATTTATGTAATGTCTGTAAAAAGTGACAATTTCTTTATACCTTTTCTTTCAAAAAAAAAAAAAATTGAGTTTGTGAAATTCTAATGTACTTGGCACCAGCATCAAGGTCTTGGTGGTCTAATTGGAAGAAAAATGATTCTCATTTCACATCCTTTAGCATCATTCTTTCGATTACAACAAATTTGAATTAATGAACTAACGATATTGATGCTACCAAAAATCGTACCTGTAGATTTCCCGAGCTTGATGACTGATGATGAGCACGAACTTGATCTTCCGATACCTGAAACAAAGGCAACGAGGTGTGTTCTCGTCGCCCTCCGATGCTTAAGTCAGAAAGGGAAATATATGCGTGAGGCTATGTGCTGAAAAACAATGTAAAACGTACCTGAATAATGGTTCAAGGTCCTGTATTTATAGGGGTAGGTAGTGTGTTCATATCAGGATTCCGCATTGCACCTGTAGTAGGATAGCTTGATTTTGCAATTTTATATCAATGAGTCCTACGCGAGATAGGAGTTTGAATTGTGGTATAATTGTGATACCAATAGAGTTCTTCTAGGCATAGGAGACATAAATTAAGGATATTTAGTCAGAATAAATCTCTCGTCGGACAAGGCGCTGTCGTAGGTCATAATCCCAAGGACATAGTCCCGAGGACATGTCAAATGATTGTGTAATAAATCTTCGGGCTATTAATAGCCCGGGCATACATGATACCCGAGCACATATGTCCCGAGCATTTTGATACTCATACCGACGAAATTGAGTCCTCGGTCTATATTCGTCGGGAACAAAACTCGGTTATATCAGGAAGTATTAATAAACCATGTAATTATAATTAGATAAACGAGAGGTAAATAAGTAGGTAGCACTTATGAGTTCTACAAAATATATGGATAAAAAGTAATTTGACTATTTATAAAACAATAGCCAAACATGGATAACATTAAAAATAACTTGTCATTTACATTTTAAAGTCAAATATTAATTTTTATATATTTCATAAGACACATTTATTACCCATTTATCCACAATTCATTCCTCATTACAAGAAATCTATCATTTTCCTACAAAATTTCCATTGACAAATTGAGACTTGTAGGCGGAGTTCATTTTTCCCCACAAATATGATTTTTTCGTAGGGTTATGATTTACTTCAAAATTTTTAATAATTGGAAGATTTGTGCCATCACCCGATCTGGTGCGACCTGTAAATTCATGACGTCCGTGTATATGTTCAGATGATTGATTGGATCGGTGGTCCCATCATACTCTTTGATCCTAGGATACTTAAATCTGTCCGGCAAGGGGAATGTTAATATCTCGGGAGTAAATGGAGTATTGGGACTGAATCTTGTCGTCCCTTTATTGCCCTGAAGTAGGCCCGTCGTAATTCCTTCTTGAATAATCCTAGCGAGTTCTCCGAACTCCATGGTCACTGATCTCGAGGCCGAGGTCACATGTGGTATACCCGAGGCTCCTGCTCCGCCATTGTCAGGGATGTGTCTTTGAGCTTGAGCTCGAGCATCAGCCATAAAACCCCCCTGGAATGCTGGTGTGGGTGACGGATGCAAATTTCTTTGACTTAGCAGCTGAGTCAGTGTAGCGACCTATTGTCTGAGTTCCTCAAAGGCTCCAGCAGTGACGACTGCCGGCTGGGGCTCTGGCACTTCTGATGATTCTTCTTGAGGAACAGAGATATCCTCAGGAGGGGGTTGGTTTGGAGCGGATGAGCTCGCGGGTGGAAGACCTGAACGTGTGTTTACCATGGCTTTTGGTAGCGTTTCCCAACCAATAGAGTTCTTCTGGGCATAGGAGACATAAATTAAGGATATTTAGTCAGAATAAATCTCTCGTCGGACAAGGCGCTGTCGTAGGTCATAATCCCGAGGACATAGTCCCGAGGACATGTCGAATGATTGTGTAATAAATCTTCGGGCTATTAGCCCGGGCATACATGATACCCGAGCACATATGTCCCGAGCATTTTGATACTCATACCGACGAAATTGAGTCCTCGGTCTATATTCGTCGGGAACAAAACTCGGTTATATCAGATATGTTCATAGGATTAATGTTGATTTCCGACTGCTTCAATACATCAAACAAAAGTCAAGTTTTAATTTCCAAACGAAAAACTTCTTTTTGATCGAGCAAAACTTTATTTTGATTGAAAAAAACAATTCCAACCTTTAAGGTGTGAATCCACACAAAATTGAAAATTATCATTACATGGAAAAGAATAATAAATAATAGTGAGAATATCTCTCTGCCCGCTGCAAAACTAAAAAATAATAATAATAAAAAAATAAAATCATTTCGTGTCTCACCACTACTAATAAAGAATTTAAACCATGGAAATAAAGAATAAATATATTAGAGTTCCATCCAATTGCTACGCAAACTAGTGTCCAGCTCCAGGGCTTGGGCCAGATTCCTTAACTCCTCCAAGCGTGTAAGCGTTAGTAAATTTGTTTCCTTCACCAGATTTCTTATTTCCTCCAAGCGTTTGAGCATTGGACAATTTGCGTTCGTCACCAAGGCTTGGACCAGACATTTTAATCCCTCCAAGTGTTTTCGCATTGGTAAACTTCTGTCCTTCACCAGGGCTTGGACCAGACATTTTAATCCCTCCAAGTGTTTTCGCATTGGTAAACTTGTGTCCTTCACCAGGACTTGGACCGGCCTTCACAGCATTCAAGGACAAATTATAAATCGAGGCACAATTGAGAGGACGGGCCTCGACAGCAAACATGACTGAATAAAACAACATAAGGAAGACGAGGAAGAAACTGATATATAATTTCATCTCTAGTTAGAAACAGATCCACAAAGTAGAGAGGAAAAGAGAAATTGAATATGTGTTGGCTGTGGATGAATAGAGGATTTGGAGACTAATTTATACTGTAAGATTTCTTGACTAACAAGGAAGGAAAAGACTGCTGATTTGCAATACTATTCAAAGAGAACGTGAGAATTGAAATATTTAGAATTGGAATGGAACGTATTTCTAGACGAACCTGCAAGTGAGGTTCATAAGCAAAGAAAATAAAAGATTGCGAGTCTAAATTGGATAGCATTTGTTTCTAATTCAGTTCTCCTACGGTCTGCATGCGTAATGGAAAAATGTAGTTCAATTCTATTTTTAGGACGGCGAATATGCTCATATGCTTGAATTCAAATTAGTTACTGAGATTGAAAAATATATATTTTTCTCATACTAGTCAATTGTCAACAAGTGTGATAAAACTGGGAATCCAAGACAACATCGGCCGTCCAATCTAGTCTACCAATTTGCAATTTACACGTGTAGCGTTCTCAACTTCGTACAGGACTTAGCCACCAGTTGTCGGACTATGCTGTCCCTCACATATTGTTATGCGTGGGTCCTCTTCATGTAAGAGATGTAAAGCATTGTGTACACCGAATTTGTACACGTAGCATAACCTCCATTTGTTTTCGAGGGAAATTTATAAACAATTAATTTATAAATAAGTACAAAGAGATTATGAACAGGTGATCAATATTTATCAGTTTATTGAAATATGCAATTGATCAATTTTATAATGATATATAAATTTGTTTCAAGAGGCTGAGTATACACGTAGCATAACCTCAATTTGTTTTCGAGGGAAATTTATAAATAAGTACAAAGAGGTTATGAACAAGTGATCAATATTTATGGATTTATTGAAATATGTGATTGATCAATTTTTAAATGATATATAAATTTGTTTCAAGGAGGCTGAGGTTTAAAAGTCATAGTCGCCTTTTATTTTCTATATTTTTAATTAGGTGAGGAATAGATTGTATTTAATTACAACTTTCACTCTTTTCATTCACTTTGATTTATGCATATAACATATCGGTCAAGTATCTCTGAAGATCACTATTATATGTAATTTCCACCGTCTTGTATGCTAATTAAAAATTTCTACTAAAGTAATTGAGTCAAATAGTCAACTTGTGGACTACTAAAATCAGTCGATTACCCATTTATCACGATATGCGCTATATAGTGGAAGTCAATGGATAGGACTCCTCTAGAAATCATACACAATAGCAATTATCATAGTCAATATAAAATACAGATTTGATCGCAGGGGCTTAGATCATCACATAAAATATATCGGTCAAGTGTCTCACAAGATTACTAATATATATAATTTTGGCCTCACATATAAGAAAATTAAAAATTTCTACTAAAGTTATTGAGTCTAATAGTCAACTTATGGATTAGTAGAATCTATAGAAGTGCCAATTTACCATGGTGAGTCGTAGAAGTCAGTAGATAAGATCCCTCTAAAAATCATATACAATAACAGTTATCGTAATCACTATGATATAACGACTTGAGAACAGAGATTTAGATCGCTAAATATAACATATCAATCAGGTATCTCTGAAGATTTACTAATATATGTAATTTTGATTATCACGGATAAAAATTTTGGTTGATTTTAAAGTAACATATAAATTTCTACTGAGTAATTGAGTCTAATAGTATTGCTGTCTTTTAAATTAGTTTGCTCCATTTTCTAGTTGACTGCCAAGCGTTCCAAGTCCCCAAGGTTGATTGTAAAGCCGTCTAAACTACTCAAAATATCCATGACGAAAAATACGAGGTCAAGAATAATTTGTAATATAAGGAAACATCTCTTTGCCCAATAGCAAGTTAACTTTTTTGTAAAATTTTAAGTTGGTTATTATTATTATTTAATTTGATTATTGACTTCAAATTCATTGTGACATTGTGATTGGATCATTTAGTTCGTATTTATTCGTTTTACCTAGCCCCACCCACCGGTCGATTGGTGGTTAAGCTGAATTAGCTCACGAGCCATTCATTGGCCACCAATTTTTACTTTTTCAAGAAAAATTATAATGACAATTATTTGTTATTACCCTAACGCGACGAAGTCAAAAATAAATAAACAAACAAACAAACAAACAGTACAGTCAGAATATTAGTACAATTTTGTTACAAGTGTCTGATAAAATGAATTTGAAGCTCTAAACACACTCAAATACACATCCTTTTATTTTATTGTTGAATGTGCAAAAAGAGACAATAGTACCAGAAAATAAGAAATCCCAACTCAGCTAAAGAAGCAAAGATGAATACAAGTTTTTAATCATCTGGCTTCATCAATTTTCAACTGGGAGAATACTTCATTAGAATTTGCTTGGCTATCATCTGAGAAACTATACGACACGTAGGATAGTTCATCTTCGCTAAACGGGATGCTTTGAGAAGGAAGTAGTTGAACAACAGGCACAGGCAACTCCCAAGTTATAACATTTGTAATTGTATTTAATGGGTTAAAAATTTCAATAGTCCACTGGTTAAGATTAAATTGAATATTTTATCAGTTGACAACTAAATATATATATGTATCAATTGAAATCGATAAAAAAGAAAAAAAAATTATTGGAAGAAATAAAACAAAAAAGTTAAAATTTTTCAATATTTGATTTAAAAGATGTTCTTTATTATGTTCAAAATGTTCTTTGAATAGAATTGATGGATCATAGTGTTGGAATATTATTTAAATGACAACGAGGAATGATTTTGAAAGTGATTAATCAAGAGAAAAACAAGAGGAAAAAAAAAAACCGAGAACAAAAAACAGCGAAGGTTGAAAAAATGGCAGGCAGCCACCCAGGCTTAAGGCCGGGTTGTAATTATAGTGGCCATTTTGTTGAACTAGGCAGTGCCCAATGTTGTACTCGGCGACCGCCCTGTACAAAAATCTGACCGTTTGAATTATGGCGTCGTTTTGAAGTATTTCACACTCTTTTGCTTGATTTTTGTATTTTTTTTCGTGCATGGTGATTGTAATTCTATATATATGAGTGGTTTTCATGTTAAAAATATATCACAAATATCAAATTCATATATCAACATCCAAAATCAAATATCAAACCAGTTTTTATAAGTTTGTTCTTTAGTTCATTTTTTTTAAGCTTTGATTGCTTTATTTATATTTGGATTAAGGTTTGTTTACTCATGCAAACTATTTGCTATTGAAACCTTCAAGCACTTATCCCGATGGTGGAAATATTGTTTGAGCATAGCGATTTGTAATCGTGTTCGAACATTCCATTTTGATGATTTCTTGGTGCTGGTTTTATTTTCGTTCTTCATCAATTTTGTCCAACAATCTCAAACGATATTTGAAACATGGAGAATGTGATAGCCATGGTTAGATAAAGATGATGAATCAATACCTTGTAATGTTTAACAGATTCGATGGGTCAAACTTTACAAGATGAAAGGACAAGTAGAAATTTCTTCTTCCAACATTAAAGATCTTTTATATCTTGGATCTAGACAGACGCCATTGTCGGAACGAACCCCAAATGACACCGAAGAGACAATAGCAAAAAAGGAAAAAAAGAAAAGAAGATGGATTGATATGTAGAGGACACATTCTGAATGTTCTCTCCGATTGCCTCTATGATCTCTACCCAAAAACACCTCGGTAATGGAGATATGAGAATCGTTGGAAACCAAATACAAGGTCGAGGAGGAAGGTACAAAAATGTTTCTTATTTCTAAGCCCTTGTTTGATTTCCATTATTTCTTCATTAAAATGAAAAATATGACCCTTATACATCACACCAAAGTCACCAAATTTTAATTTTTATCTCTTGTGTGGGGTCCGTAACAGTTATATTTTTCATTCTCATTCTTCCAAAAATGAGAAACAAATGGGGGCTAAGTATTTTGATTCAAATTTTTGGATAACTTGTATTTGTTAGGACAAGTTCAAGAATTGCAAATTATTGTCAACAAAATGAAGGCTGTAAAATAGATCTTCCTGAAACTTTCCAAGTTGGTGCAATCATTATGAAATTGCCATTTTCATGGAAATGTTATAGGAAGAAAATTCTTCACAATTCCTTAGATTACTCTTTGTGAGAAATACAAAAGCATCTTCAAATTGAGGAAGAGATAAGGGTACGAGATCGGAATGAACATTCTCATAAGGGCATTTCCGAAGTCGATATTGTGGATCAATCAAACAAATACAACAAAGATTCCAAAAAGAGAAAATTCACAAATCCCAATAAAGATAACAAGAACAAGAAGAAATCCAAAAAATTGTTATTATGTGTGTGGCAAACTCAAACATTATGCTTGGGATTCTAGATATCACAAACAACCAATGCAAAAAGGCAAAGTGACTCCATTGACCACATCATTGCTACCGTAAGCATTGTAAATTCGGTCAAAAGAAAAGTTCAAGGGTGGTGGTATGCTACTTGTGCCACCATACATGTACGCTATGATAGATTCCTTTTCAAAATTTATCAAGAAGTGGATGACGAATACATTCAAATGGGTAATGAAGTTCAATCAAAAGTTGTTGGCAAAGGAAATATAGACCTACAATTTACATCCGGCAAGAAGATCGCATTAATAAAAGTATTGCATGTATCGAATATGAATAAAAATCTTGTCAATGATGATTTGTTAGGAAAACTGGGAATAAAGTCCACTTATGAGTCGGGCAAATTTATATTTTCTCGAAATGGTATATTTGTTGGAAAAGACTATTATTGTGATGGAATGATCAAAATTTGTACTATTGACAATAATATCAATAAAACTACAAATTGAAATTATGTTGTTGAATCTATTTCTTTAGGGCATGATAGACTAGGAAATATTGACTTTTTTACTTTAAAAATAATGATTAAAACACGAAATGATTTCATGTGAATACCTAGAATATAATAAATGTGAATTATAGGTTAAAGTCTAAAATGATTAAGAAACATTTTCATAGTGTTAAACGGAAATCTAATTTGCTAGACTTAATTCATTTCGATACATGTGAATTAAGTGGAA